AGGCCTAGCTGATAGTTGAGACTAAGGGCTATGGAACTGAGTTGTGAAGCTCCAAGGGGAGTCTCGGGAGGGTCTATGTGATATTGAGAGTTGAAATCGGTGTGGTATCTGTGGTTGGTTTTAGTTCCTCTTAAGCCGCCCCCTCTCCCGTCACTCTACCCATGCCTTTACTTCCTTGCTTTGGTGCTGGAAAGTCTACCACTGAAGTGGCCACGCTTGAGTCCATAGAGGAAGCTGTTCCTGTTGATGCCTCTAAGGTCGAGAAAAGCCAGGTTGTCGACTGGAAGTTGAAGGCCATGTTCTGTGTCATTGGTTGTGTTGCCCTCCTTGGTTGGAACTTCATCCTGGGCGAGCTCGGTACCCTTATTGATGCCTTTGGGGATGCTTATGGAACTTGGTGCTCTCTGTGCTACTCCCTCTGCATTAACGCTGGTCAGTTGATGCTTGTTTGGATCGGCAATCGATTCAGGTTTGGTCCCCGCTTCTACACTGGTTGTGTCACGATGGGTATCAGTATGATGCTCATCGCTGTGTGTGCCATCACCTTCGCCAGGGACAACCAGGCAGCGGGCTTTGGTGCTGGTTGTGTTCTCATCGGAATCTTTGGCTTTGCCAACTCCCTTATGGAGTCATCGATGTTCGGCCTGGCCGCTCTCGTTGATCCGGTCTGTACTGAGTTCATCCTCATCGGTGAAGGTCTTTCTGGTCTCATCGCCTGGCCGTTGGATATGCTCTGTCAGGCAATCCTGCAGGGATGTGGTGTCACCGACTATACTTATCCACGAATGGTGCTTTTCTATGGTCTTGGTATGCTAGCTAACTTCGCCACTATCCCTATGTACAAGTATGCTATGCAAAAGCATCCTCTTATGCGTGTTGTCCTCGAACTTGAAGAAGGTCGTCAAAAGTTCGTACTCAAAAGAGAGATGAAGCGCCCTCTTGGTCAAGTCGTTTGGGATACGGTCCCTCAAGCCTTCAATGTTTGGCTCAGTTTCACCATTACATTCACTGTTTTCCCCTGGCTCGTATTCGAGATGAAGCCCTCCAATTTATCTGTCGGTTTGTTCGGTCAGCTCATGACGTACTGTTACCAGGTCTTCGACACTATCGGTCGTTCTTCGCCTAGTTATCATCTCCGTTTGAGCAAAAGAGGCACACGTTTTGCGTCCTTCGGGCGTTTGATTTTCATCGCCTTGTTTTTCCTATGTGCCGAGGTTAACACTAACCCATTGAATCAAGACTGGTTTCGCTTTGTTGTTATGGCGTTCTTTGCTGGTTCTAATGGTGTTGTTGCTTCTTGGTGTATGATACATGGACCGACTCAAGTGGATCAAGATGAGCAAGAGGAGTTGGAGATTGCTGGTTATGTGATGGCCTTTGGGCTTATCTGTGGTATCCTCAGCGGTTCAGTGATCGCTACCATTATCCAACAAACTGCCTTTATGTAAGGCTCGGAAGGTTGAACCTTCTTAACCCTTCATAATCGTTGTATGTTATGTTCTCCATCCATCGTCTCCTCATCCTGTCTTTCAATCCGATGGTTTTCATTGTTATCACTCAC